AATCACCATGTATGTCCTGAAGCGCGCGCGGCACCGCTCTGGCAACGGAAAAGGCCGAACGAGGCCGAAGTCCAGTTAGCTGCCGCAGTGCCTTCCAGGACCCTCCAGCGGCCATGGAGACCAGATTTTCCCGCCATTTCCACTTCGCATCCCTCCTTAGTACCATGATCCGCTTTGAGAGAGCCCCTCGAAGTTCAGCATCCTGCACAACGTTGCGTGCCTCGCACAGCCGTCGAATATCTGCTGCATCACGATAGCCAAGTCTCGGCGGCGGGGTCCCGTGGCGAAGAAAGCAGCGTTGCAGGTCGTGGAACATCGCGTCTGGGGGCACCTCAGCTGTGGGATAGGCCTCCTGGACCTCACGATGAGCTTGAAGCACTGTTGCCGCAGCAAAGGAGAAGTCCTCGCGGCTGGGCTCCGGCACTGTGAAGGCTCGAGCACTCCTGAAGGACGCCCTGAAGGCCGGTGGCACAGCTGCACGCCGGCGGGTTGCCACACGCATTGGAAGCTCCAACCGCAAGGGCCGGCGGTCTGTGTGAATCATCTCATTACACTCAGCGAGCAACTCCGCCTGGGGCATGGCCTGGCAAGCAGCTGCAGTATTGGAGAAGAACCAATCAATGGCCGTTCCAATCTCTCTGTCGGTCCCCCATCTGTTTCTGGTGGCCTGCAGCGGCATTTGCTGCGGATGTTGTCGCAAGGACAGCCCAGAGAGTTCCTGTGCGAGAGTTTCGCCACGAGAGTTCCTGGGCACTGTGAGCACGTCAGGGACGCCGTCCTGAGCGCCATGCCCCGAAGCCTGGAACTGTTGAGTGAAGTCCGCATTGAAGTCTCCACCGAGCAGCACGGGCTTAGCATCAGAAGCATGGGTCATGAGAGTGGCTGTCAAAGCAGCAAGGGCGGCATCAAAGTCCCGCCGTGGTTTGTTCTCATGGGGAAGATGCACGTTGCACACCAAAATCTCCTTGTCATCTGAGCCGACTGTCAAAGACAGAAACATTCCATTCTGAAAAAAGCCTCGTGTGGAAAAAGCTCGAAAGCGGCACTTACTGGCGTAGATCTGCAAGCCACGAAAAGTATGCGACTGTTCAGGGTGGCACGTGAAGATCCACCAGTCCGAATGGCTCTCGTCCATTTCCGGGCATTGAGAGCAACTCACTTCCTGGAAAAGCAAAAGGTGGGGAGGCTCCTCCGAAAATGAAGAAACGAATTCCTGAACCGTGTCAGCGGTGGCCCCTGCCACATTCCATGTGAAAAGCGACAGGGAAACCCTTGCCACTTCATCAGGCCCAGTCGATGCAGTCTGGTTGTTGCCTGGCCAGCGACGCACTCACTGCCCGGTGGCAGGCCGCTTCTGTGCCTTGATCCATGCCTGCTTGACCTCAAACTCAGTCTTTCCAAGCTCATGGGACAGCAGGGAGACATTCGGAAGATCGGGATTGCTGGAAAATTCTGCAAAACGGTGTGACCCAAGCCATGCTATGCCCTGCCTGTAGTCGCCCTCCAAATGCTCGGCATCTGCATCAAGAAGGCGCGCAGTTCTGAGTGCCCTTGCTGTGAAGGAGGCAATCTGTCTCTCAGTCTGGGATTTGTGCGGTCCAAACCAAAGGGGAGAGCCCGCGTGTTCGTAGCTTTCCTCTTTGAAAGACGTGAAGGCAGCCCACAGGTTGTCCCTTGCCGTGCCCCCAGCTGCCTCCTGAAACTGAACGTAGGCCACTGAGGCGCGCTTGCCGGGAGCATAGATCTTCTTGACAGTGGGCATAGCCCCCAAATGTGTCATGATCTCTGCGGCTTTAGCCTCAAGTTCACGACGCTGAGTGTCCCGCTTGAAGCCTCCCAAAACAGCTAGAGCAGAGTTCAGGTTGGATGATGCCCTGTCGCCTCCGGGGAAAGAGCCGTTGGAGCGGTCTGTGCCGGTGCTCCGTCTGTCCTGAATGGCTGAAATGCTCTTAGCATGTGCGGCGGTCTGGGCCTCAAGAGCACCCAAACGTCCATCAAGGGTTCTCGTCTGGTCCTGCAGAGATGCCACTCCTCTGAGACTCTCATTAGCCTTAGCCTCAACTGCACTGAGTTGAATCCGTAAGGGATCAAGGATCTCTTCCCTCATCATCTCGCGGTACTGCTCAAAAGATGGACTTTCAGCAGGACGTTTGAGCGCCATGCCGCACAGCCTACACCCTACACCGAACCTACCCCTGGCCTTGAGCCATTTAAAAAGGGCTTGAGCCAAAATGGCTACTTTGTGGCAATCTGGGGACCTGCTTTTCCAGCTCATGCTGCTTCTCAGCCTTCCTCGTCGTAGCAAGCTGCCCCTCGGCAATGGCCGCGCGCTGGTTCTCGATGATCTTCGCGTTCTCGTCCCTTTTTCTGCTGCTCTTTGTTTGCCTGGATGGTGTCTTAGGATCTTCGTCGATTCGCCTATGGCCTTTCCTGACGTAGTGCTAGCAACTGTCCAGGCATCTGGCTGGCTTGGCCACTTGTGAGCTGGCTTTTGTCCACCTCAGGGAGCTTGCCCTGCACCTTCTCCTCCTGGGATCCTCCCTTCCTGAGCCCCACGCTCGGGCGGCGGCCTCACTCTAGGCCCTTGTGTCTCCTCGCCCTCCTCGCCCGGTGTCCCCGGCCGGTCTCTGGCCCACGAAAAGACTACTGAGAGTCCCGCCGCAGAGAGTTCAACCTAGTATCCTTGGTTGTTTATAACAACTTGCGTCAAAGTGAACGTGCGGTCCACCCGCCGAAGATATGATGGATGTTTGACAAATGATGCGCTGGGCAGGGTCTGACGAGCTTCCTGCGACTATCCACGACTATCACACGCTACATGTGTATGTACTTGTACGCATGGGCGTGTGTCACGTTGGCAAGGTGGCAAGCCCACGGCTGCACCAAGAAGCGACAAATAGTAGCTGCCTGAACAGACAGGCTGACAATCTTGACGCGGCGCCGGAAACAAGACCTCGACAGAAAGGTCAGCAGGTATTCTCAGAGGCCTCCTAGACCCTAAACCCTAAACCCTAAACCCTACACCCTAAAGCCTAAACCCTAAAAAACTTGTTCACGTGCTCCCCAGCATCTTGACCCACTGCTTCCGAGGCACTCAAGGCGCAGCACCTGCAGCAGCCTGAGAAGCCTTGGACGCGGAACGTGACACACGAGTACGGAAAATCTGGGAATTTTGCAGGATCCAATCTTTAAAAAGAAGTCTGATCCTTGCCATGCCTGGGAGGTGTCAGCTTAGAGTAGCTCCCGTTGCACGGACTGCAGTCATTTTGAGCACCTGATGCTTCCTCTACCGTAGACAGGAGCTATTGCAAAAAGGAGGCTTGGTGCCGCAGCCAATGCACGGCGTGTTCACCTCAGGAGCCAAACGCAAATTGCTCAGCGCAAGTTGCGCTTCGCAGCAGAGCTTCGCGTAAGACTCCACCCTTTTAGGCCGTCACAGCGACTTCGTTTTAGATTTTAAGTTTAGTGCCACTGGCCTTCCGAAGGAAGGCAGCGGTGCCAGGTGCGTTGTCTAAGCAGATGTTGCCTTCGCCGTTGACGGACACGAAGTGGACAAACTCCTCAACGAATGTGACTCCAAACGATCAACGGCTCGTGAATCAGAGGAAATGTCAAAATTAGATTCGGCCCTCGCCGAGTCTAAATCCATTGTGCCAAGGCACTGGACATTCGATGCGCCTGGAACCCCACAAGCGCTGCCACAGAAGCACCAGTTGGCTCATGACCTCGTGCACGGCTGCGGCGTGGGCCATGACAGAAGATGCTCGCTATGGTCACTCCCCATAAGATCACGACCTTGTTGATGAGGCGATCCAGGTAAGAGATCAGCAGAGTGCACGGCACCTACACAACATTGGCATCGAGGCTGATCCACACTTGCACAAAGCCCTCCGTGCCGCCGAAAGGCTGCAAAGAACGCAGCCCAGCAGAGTGGAGTTATGGTTTCCCGGAGATTCCTCGACAGGGCCGAAACAAGCATGGTGACTCGGAGACCGGCTTGGGCACATGTTCGGCCAAAGACGCCTTCAAGACGCCTTCATGACCAACGCTCAAGGTTCCAGAACAAAGAGATGGCACCGGCGACCGGGCGCTCCTTGTTATGAAGACGAAGACCCCAAAGCAAACGATCAGCATGAAGGCCACCTCGGACGGAAAAAATGTTTCTGCAAGACTGCATAACACGGACTGAATGGGCTGCAGCTGCGAGACAAAGGCCGCATTCCGCTGGAAGTCTTCAAGGCCGCGTGTAGCCGTCCATGTGCCTTGACAAGTGTGGACGGCAAGAAGAGACACGGGTGAAGGTAAGGAACACATGGCGGTTTCCGAAAGTAGGGGAACCCTTTCTGAGGGTTCCTGTACGGATGAGGATTATTTTACGTTGGGGGTATACTAACGGTACCCCTATTTTGGGAAATAACCATATTTTTTACTGCAGAGGTCAGAACACTTCAGAGCTTCCAAGTCCGCAGCCGTTCATGTCGGCGCGGCGCGGCAGCAGCTGCGGTAAGTGCGACTAAGGCGAAACTTCTAAGCTGATTCGAGCATGGCTGAGCTAAAGGGTAAGGTGCGAGAGTCTTCATTCGATGCTCCACTAGGGCAGGAGCTGAGGATGCTTGGAGTCTACGTGCGTCACGGTGGAGGTTGTGCCTTTTCCTCTCTCACTGGCCAAGGTCGGTTGAAATGAGCCTGTTGTGGTATGTTTCTTCCCCGCCCCGGACTGTGGAAACTTCTAGGTCAAGTTCGCGCTGCTCCCGTCTTGGTCTGCATGTTATTCTGCCCCAGAACGGAGCCAACGCTGCAGGATGATCGGATTGAGTCCACACCGTTTCACTTGCAGCCGCTTACGCCATGCTCCCCCTGGTTCTTAGCAGGGAATGATTGATGTAGGGCCCTATACATATCTATACCCTCAAGGGAAAATACAGGGTACCTCATTTCCTCATTCCCTACTAAGAACCAGCCAGCGTTACGCCCACAAGATCTTGGAATTGCCAGGGCACCGAAGTCACTCAGAGCCACTTTGCACTCCTGGTCTCTGAGGTCCCGGGTCGTGATCAAGAAGTTGTCCCCCTTTCCGACAAGATCTTCACATCTTGGGAGTTTACGATGTTAGGGGGTACCTTATCGGGTCCTGAATTCTAAGGGGATCCTGCGATTCGGGGGGTCTCTACGAGTCTCCTTCTTCTCGTAAACAAACATTTGCACTGCATGGACTAAAGCCATGCCTTGATGTCACGATGGGCGATGTGCCGCTCATGAAGGTACTTGATCGAGGCCGCCATCTGCCCCCAAACCAAAGAGGGGAGAGTAGCTTCGCGCGTTTTGGGGGAACTGCTCTCCAAAAAAAGGAGCTCAAACGAGCACTCAACAAGCTGAGGGCTGCCCTGGGCCTGATAGCTGACATGGACGATGTCTCTGGGATTAATCTTGCCATGCTCCTTCAGCTGCAGCACGTAGCAAAACTGGCTCAGGCAAAGGTCTCCGCACCGACTGAAAGTACAACGAACACAGGAAACTTCGCCCTGTGAGTCCTTCATGTGCATCTGCATGCCATCGACAAGATCTCCTCATGGCAAGCGAGCATCGAGGCATCCGACCGTCTCCATGCTTGGTCCTCCGCCGTACTTGTCCATGACGATGCACACGAAGCACCTGCATTCGCATGGTCGAAGTGACGAAGTGCGTAAATCAGCTGACAAAACAGCTGACAGATGCTGACAGTGACATGCCTCTCGAAATAGACAGCATGGAAGCGGACGATGTTGGCATGGGAGAGGGACTGGCAAGCGCTGGAGCCCAGGCTTCGTGAGAGCTTCAAGACAGTTACATGGTCAAGCGCCTAGACGTTCCGGCCTTCATCAACTCCGCTTCTCGGCGAATGACTGCAGGCGGTGTCTCGACCTGGCAGAGTCTCTTTGCCACGGGATCACGGGCTCCGACCCGACCGCGCGGGGGAGTTGACCCGCGTTTGATCGGGCCTTGTCCACCATCTTCACCGCCGCCTGCCACTGAGGCACAACACTTCCCTCGAACCCTGTCACCTGCGGGCTGCGCCTGCATCCCTGTCTTCCGATGAGCACATGCCTTCCAATGGCGAAGACTTGCTGCTGCAACGTGCAATGAAAGACTCAGCCCCTTGCATAGACCACACCAAAGGCTCCCTCTCCAAGAGCTTCGCCAACGCAGTACTCCTGGCCAGCAATCATGTTTGCTACATCGTTGCGATGTGCTGCGCAGGTCCTCCAAAAGACGCTTGCCGCTTGCCCTCAGAGAAAGAAGGGCAAGAAACTGTTTCAACAATCTTCCTTGTGCTGTTCTTCCATGAGTGGCCACCACTACCAGCCAGATATTCCAAAGAGAGAGACCACAAGAGTTGACGACGGACACTGGCAAATCTCTGATTCTGACGCAACACACCAGGCCCCATCTTTCCATGCTGAACACTGCCGGCATCTGCAGGCACTTCGGGTGGTGGCCCGGTGGTGGCTCTACCAATGCTATCAATGGATCAAAGGGTTGGTCATGGCTGTGGCGAAAACGCCTTGATGCCTTCATGTGCAGGTCATGTGCTGTCCATCAAAGACGCTTCCACAAGCACGCTCTCAGGCAAGGCATCGCGTGCACTCTGCCTGTCAATATGCCATAGTCCTGTACTGGTCTTGTGGCTTGGCACCATGTGACAAACACACCGAGTCATGGCACGACAATATGGAACAAAATGGAGCCGCGCTCTGCAAAGCTAAGGCAGTGGCAACTCCTCCTCAACGCTCGCACCATGGACAAATTGGCCAGGCAGGTCTCCCTGCCGAAATCTCCAGGCATGCAGCAACACAAGATAGCACAAGCTGCCACGGCCAGCAGCCACACCTTCTTGCTAGCCTGAGTCTCCTTCTGGGACAAAGTGAAGCCCATTCTGCCGGCACAAGAGCAAGCAAGGCGGCACGCAAGAGTCTTCGCGAACGGTCTCACTAATCACTAATCAACATGGAAGTGAAGCTGGCTATACTCACGTTCCGGATGAGCTGCAGCGCTTGGGCTTCTTTCGTGCGAAGTGTTCAATTGCTTTGTGGATCAGGCACGGGGTTGACATGGGTTGCCGGATCAGGAAATGCCTCTTTCATTGTTTTTTTGCAGCCCCCCGAATACAGGCGTGCCCGGACGTCCGTTTGTGCTTCTGAAGGCATCTGGCTATTAGTGTCTTTTCACTCTCGTGCCCGCGTCACCGACCGCGCACACCTTGAAGGACTGACGCAAGCTGCTTATGATCCTTGCAGGATTGCAACAAGAAAGAGAGAGAGAGAGAGAGAGAGAGAGAGAGAGAGAGAGAGCACAAATGCTGGACTTTCCTAGGTGGACATCGGTGACAGGTCGTCACCTGGAAATTTGAGGGCCTGCAGTTTCTCTAGTGCTCTGCTATGCTCGGCCAGTCTGGTTCCTCTTCTGCTGTGGCTGCTTGTAAAGCAGGCCACGCGAGGCTTGCTGAACCGCCCTCTCTTGTCCAAACTGCGAAATTGCGAGGTAGCCAAAGTCTACACAAACAACCCTAAAGTGATCGTGCAACCTCAGCCAACCTCAACACTCAAAGTTCCTATGATGCCTCGGCCTTTTCTCTCTGGGCAAAGTTGTGCTTGAGCCACCAAAGTGGCAGATCATGAGTAGGGCTCATCTGGGGAGGAAAAGTGTGATTATAATTTCACACGCCTCCTTGGACTAAAGTTGCTTTAACTTTCGTCCACACTCAATCACACACCCGCTTCAAAGTACGAACCACAATATCAGCAAACAAAGTTCGAAGAAATGTTTTACTCGAAAGTCGGGGGGAATCAGCTGATTCGCAAAAGCTGCCATCTTCAAAGTGGCTGTTAAAAAGATCGTTGTGCTCTTCAAAGTTGTGGTGCTTGCGAAAGGTATTATGAATCGGCCCAAAGTGCAGCGATTCTGGCTGTCTGAAATACCAAAGTGCCCAAAGTCGGCATATCGAAATGCAGCGACTCGAAAAGTGGCACATCTTCACATCCTGAAGCCACGACGCAAAGTGGGGATATCCAAGTGCATCGGCGCAACGCCCTCGTCTGGAAAGTTTGAGAGCTCTTGGTACAGCCGAGATAAAAGTGGGAGGTGCATAAGGCGCGAGTGCCTGCAGTCAGGCCTGTCAAAGTAGGTGTTGAGATTGTCACAAAGCTCGTACGGGTGAATGCGGTGCAACAAAGTGACAATCGTTCGGCAAGTAGGCTCCCACATAAAGTTCAGGCTCTGAACTTTGAGAAAGTAATCCACATATCGCCTATTCCATAGACGATTTCCATTGATGGTGATTAACCGAGTAAAGTCTTGTAGCAAAAGTCGGACTCCAATCGTGATCAACTGCTCTCCTGGCATAAAAGTCACACGATCAAGTCCCTGTTGCAAGGAGATAGACAGTCCAAATGACCAAAATAAAAGTGACGATCTCGGAGACAAAGTGAGGTTCAGGCAATCCACCATAGTTCCCACCATTGCTGCAGATGGCAAGACAAAGTTTCCTGACCTCTGAGCTGCAGATGCAACCATCAACCAAAGTCCTGTAGGTAGAGTAAGCCACAGCTGAAAAGGAACCCAATCCTGCCGAAAAGTGGGGCGTTCCGGTGTCCAGAACCCCACAAAAGTCCTCTGCAGCACCTCCAACTCAGGAGGTGTATAAAGTCCCAAAGTGGCCGCATACTGGATCAAAGGATAAAGCTTCTGAAACATTTCCGCCGGCGATGAAAGTGGCAGATAAAGTTGCTCCTTCTGCAACCCATTCCACAAGGTTTCAAGAACCAGCTGCAGACTCAGCCACGTGCGATACGTGCTAAAGTCCACGTCACGGCTCTGAGCTGGTGTAAAGCGATCCATCGCCTCAAAGTCTGCTGCGCGGCTCCACCGCGTGCAAAGTTGCGAGAACTGTCTCTGGACGTCTCACACCTTTAAAGTGCCATGGCGCGCGGGCGCACAAGAGCATCAAAGTGTTTCGAGAGAAGCACCAGAGGGGCGCGAGGCAAAGTAAACCACAAACGCCAAAGAAACCCCGAACACCCCGCAAGGTCAAAGTTGGCTGGGGTCGAATTTATGTACATTAAAAGACTAAAGTTAAAATGCGCCTGAACAGCGCGAGTTCGCGTGGAGAAAGTGCGCGCGTTCGCGCGTGGCGGCGAAGGTTTCGTGCCTGGAAAACGGAAAAGTTGCGCGCGCGTACGCGAGCCGAGTGCGCCGAATGCGCCGAAAGTTGACATGACTGAACATGACTGCAAAGTACACGTCTGCACTGCACAGCACTGCAAAGTACATGTCTGCAAAAGTGACATGTCCGCACAAGACAGCACAAGTGACATGAAAGACATGAAAAGTGACATGACTGTACACACACACCAAGAGTGACATGTCCGCAAAAGTACGTGTTTCTCTCCTCTCACACTCTCTCTTCTTTCTGTCTTTCTCAAAGTGGAAAACCAAAAGTAGGCAGATGCCTGTGCAAGGTTTCTTTGGGAACATACTTCGTCAAGATATCAGCTGGGTTCAAAGTTCCCAACACTTTCTTTACACGCACCATACCTGAGGCAACAAGTTCTTGAACGTAAAGAAAGCGAAGCTCCACGTGCTTCGTCTTACGGGATGCCCCAAAGCGCGAAACTATGCTTTTACCAACGTTGGAGTCGGTCCAGATACAAAGGTTTGCTTTCGGGAAAAGTTTCGCCTCCTCGATCAGAGACTTCAGGAAAAGTGCATCAGCGGTTCCTGAGCCTATTGCGTACAGCTCGGCTTCTCCACTCGAAAGTGCTACCGTGGCTTGTGTCCTACTGTGCGACAAAATGTTCGCACCCAACATGAAAAGTGACACACCCGAAGTGGATCTACGACTGTCTGCGCAGCCAGCCCAATCGGAATCTACGTAAATGTTGATGTCTATGGCTTTGTGTTGTGGGGAAAGTTGTAGGGTAGGTTGAAGACGTTGCGAAAAGTTCTTCGTACCAGCAAGGTACTTCAAAAGGTGCTTGGCCTTGGCTTCATGCTCTGAGGTCGGGGCAGAAAGTCCTCGACTGAGCTCCTTTACTGCATACATGATGTCTGGGCGTACACTCGAAAGCCACAAAAGTTGGCCTACGATGCGCCGGTAGCGCTTGTGCGCTTCCGCGTCCAGAGGCTCAACATTCAACTGCTTTCGCAAAGTGTCTGTGCCCGGAGCAAGGACTGGCTTACAACCTGAAAGTCCTGCCGTCTCAAGCATACGATCAATGTACGCAGGGTTCATGCCAACAAGTACGGCGTCGTTCGTTCTTTGAAGCTCACGGCCAAGGAAAGTCACCGATTGACCTTCGTCCAAAGTGCCTGTCATCTTCAACAACAGGTCTTTCTGCAACTCCGCGACCGAAAGTTCAACATCTGGTTTTGAACCAAAGAACATGAGGTCGTCAACATAAGCAAGCGCGTAAAGTTGCTTGGTCTCATGCACATAAAGGTTTGGGTCTGACTTGACCCTGCGAAAGCCATTCTTCTTCATGACTGACGCAAAGTGCTCTTGCCAAAGCTTTGGAGAGTGCTTAAGACCATAAAGCGCCTTCTTCAACTTCCAAAGCGTGCAGCCATCTGGGTAAAACTCGAGCGGGGGTATGACGTAAAAGTCATCATCCACAGCAGCGTGCAAGAAAGCTGTGGAAATGTCACCCACTGCTATGTGCCATCCTCTGGCTACAGCCAAAGTAAGCAAAAGCTTCAAGGTGGTGAGCGAAGGCGTCGAGGCGAAAGTCTCATCCTTGTCATTGACTTCTTGCGTGTAGCCTCGAACTACAAGTCGACAGCGCACAGTGCCGTCGGACTTGCGGACCTTAACCCACCGCGTCGAAATGACCTTGTCTAAACGTGCTTGGGGAATGTCCTTGTAGTGAACTTCTTCGAAAACATCGAAAGTCGTCATAGACTTCATCTCCTTTTTCATCCCTTCTACTTCTTCAACGAGCGGAAACTCGGTTTCATACCACAAGTACGGGTTTTCCAGGGTCTTCATCAGCAAAAGTTCTTTTTCATCCTGGTTTATTGCTACAGGAACTTCAAGGTCGTTCTTGGTTGTGACTGCAGCAACACGAAGGTAACAAAGTGGCTTGGGTATGCGCTTCCTACCGCTGTAGAAAGTCACCGCGTTGATCCTCTGCACCTTAGTCGTTCCAACGTCAAAAGTCTCTGTGCTACGCTTGGTCGGTGACGCGGGCGACTCGTCAGAAAGTCGCGGCCTCGAACCAGGGGGCTGAGGCAAAGCTGCGTCTGTACTCGACCTTGCTTGCGCTGCATTTGCAGTTTGCTCATCCAAAGTCAAGCGTGGAGGCTCAAACTCAGGCGGAGGCAAGGGCGGTTCTTGCTCTACATCAGAAAAGTAATCTTCCGGAAGGTCCGAAAGATCGTCACGAGCCGGAACAGGCTCTGTGCCATCTAAGCCCAAAGCTTCTTCCAACTCTGGGTCTGAAAGTTCATAGTTTGGCACGTCATTGCCTTTTTCAGGAGGACCAGAAAGTTGCCCAGACGGTGGCAAAGCTAGGTTTGTCGCCTCCTCGGACTGCTGCATCGGAAAGATGAAGGAGTCCGTTTCCACCTTTGCACCGGTCGGGTCCCAAGGACGCGCGGTAACCGACTGCAAAAGTGCCACGTCTGACTGCTGGGTGGGGGGGAGGCGTTTCAAGGAACGCGTCTTGTAAACCCCGCGAGAGTCAGCGACAAAGTGTTGCTCCGACTCTGTGTCTTTTCCAAGCCAAACGCCACGCTCAAAAGCCGGCTTGCCTTTGTTGACACGCTGTTTTCGGAAAAGTACGGTCTCTCCAAAGCGGCATATGAAGCCGTTGTACCGCTTTCCCCAGCGTCTCTCAAAAGCAGTAGTGCCAGCAGCGTTGCAAAGGTAACGGTTGACAAGCCACTGCGCGTGGCGCACAAGCCAAGTGAAAAGCGCTGAGTGAACCGACAGATCAACTTGGTAACGCTGCAAAAGCTCAAGCCGCAAAGCCTTGATCTGTCCATACAAAGTTGCTTGCATGTTTCCAACGGAACCCTGAGCTTGCTTCCAGCCTGTCGGGGTACTCCGCAAGGAAAGTCCACCGACTTCGCCTGTTACAGCTTCCGCGATGGCTTTCAACGCTGGCTCTGGGTCGCATTGCAAGATTCCGAAAGTACGTCCGGTTTCTAGAACAAAGCGTCTCAACTCTGCATGGGAGTACGGTGTGCGAGCCTTTGTGGGAATCACCACTGAAAGTGCCATGTTCGAGAGAACATCGACAACGTTAAGTATGGTGACCTGTTCCTCACCAGGCTTATCTGAAAGAAAGCTAAAGTCCATCTGCAGGACGGGCTGTCTCAACGAAAGTTTCTTACTGTGAGCCTGCCTGCTCTTAGCTTTCAAACAAATTTCACACCACGGCTTGAACGGCAAGTGAGTGAGCTCATGCTCCAGCCTTTCTGTTAAAGTTGGCTCGCCGGGCTGCTTCAAGCCCTTCGGCCTCTGAGCCAAGTACTCTGGCTGAGCTGGCTCTGCTTCAAAGGCTTCAAGTGGCAACTTCTCAAAACAAGTAGCGCCAACAAAGTCTTGCGTCACTTCCTGCGTGCCGTATTTGCGCCACAAGTCAAAGTGCCACGTTGGCTCTGCATCAGGACGCATGATCAAAGTCATGCGCGCATTGCCCAACTCTTCTTCAAAGTGCGGGTCTTCTGGCACATACAAGGTGTTCCGAGACACGTAGTGAACACGAGCCCAAAACAACTGAAAGTTCAGCCAACGGTCGTGCGTGAAGGCTTCTCCAGTTGCAGGGTCCTTCTCCGAAAGCTGTTCCACCAGGGCCTTCTGGAAGTCAGGCAAAGTGCCCGAAGCGGCCTGCGCCAAACGCAGACGGAAAGTGTCCTCTGCGGAATGGTCCTTTGGTGGTTTAGGCTTTTCTGCTAAAGTGTCTTGCGGTTGTGCGAGGGCTTTTGGAACAGGTTGGGGAAAAGTTGACTGCTTGCCAGCGAGTCTACGACCCGTGGATTTGGAGGAAAGTTTAAAGACAGTACGACCAACAAAGCGTCCAGAAGACTTCCCTTTGGGATCTTTAGACGTTCGCCAGTTATCATGCAAAGTTTCTTTTCTGCCATCTTCGTACGTAAGGTAAGTGACACGCTCATCAGCTAAGGACTCGAGCTCAACTGGCCTATCTTTCGTCCCTTCAGGAGAAAAGAAAGTCGCTCTAGATCTTTTGTGTATTCTTGTGAGGGTGTTACCCGAAAGTTCCCAACGATCAGCATTGTAGTAAACGGGGTTAAACTGGGTTGGAGCAATCAAAGTACCTTGTTCATTGGAGTCGTGAAGAAGGTTGCAAACTTCAACAAACTCATCCTTGTTGAAAGCTCCCAAAGTAGGCCGAAGGAACAAAAGTGACCCTTGTCTGACTATTGGAACTTGGTTTCCATCAGGGGTTGAAAGTACCTGAGACTCTCTTGTCATCGTCACTTGAAAGCCTTGTCTCAAAAGTCTTCCAACCGAAACCACACAGTACGGTACGTTGCATACGTAAAAGTGAAGAAAGCAAGGCTGACCGTCAAAGTCAAGCTTCACAAGCCTTCTACCGTAAACCGTCAAGGGTTGACCCGAAATGGATCTCAAAGGCGGTGGCTTCCCTGAAAGTGGCAAAAGCGGCCACTCCGAAGCAAAGTCCTGAGGACAGCAATGGGTCGCTGCTCCTGAATCAAAAAGTATCCAGGGCTCATTCTCGTCAAAGGTGGCTGCAACCAAATGTTCCTCCAAAGCATGATCCCGGAATGTCGTGTTCAGGTTCGACACTCCAAGATCGTACACACTGAAAAGTTTCTGAGGCACCGAGTCGTTTCGATTCAGCGAAAAGGTTTCCAACGGCGCCATGCCAACCGACGAAAAGGTCGCACGCTTCTCGCCATACGAAAAGTCAACATCACCAGTCAACATGCCTTCAAAACCAAACGACTGACCAACACCAAAGTTGCCAAGCACGAGTGCCGACATCAAGAAAGAGCTCGGGGAAAGTGAGCTCTTGGCCTTAGGTTTGGGCGCTGCCTTGGAAAGTCCTGGAGGGGCTGTCACAGTGACAGCTGAAACTGGAGCCTGCTGAGCTCCATGCTGCAAAGTTGACTCTTCCTTAGGCTTCTGAGGCTGTTGCGGTGACAAAGTCTCCTTTGAGGAGGTGGCTTCAGGCCACCACTCATTCCAACCTGCAAAGTCCTGATACGAATACCAGTCCCAGGAATCCCACGAGGAATCCCAAAGTGAGTCATCCCATGACTCCCAACTCTCATCGAAAAGTGCTCCGACTGTCCACTCAGACCAGTCGTCCCAAGGGGCCTCACCAAAGTAAGACTCTTCTTCCTGGAGACCGTAAAGTTCACTCTCTTCTCCCTCAACAGCATTCACTCTGTTCAGCGGACACTTGCTAGCAAAGTGACCTGACTTACCACATGTCCAGCACAAGGCACTCGACGATGCCGAAGCACCCGACGACGAACCAAAGTTCTTTCCTTTGCCTTTGCTCTTTCCTTTCAAACTTCCGAAAAAGTTCCAGTGGGGGCCTTTCTTGCCTTTTCCTTTGCCTTTCATGGGACCAAAGTCCTTTCCTTTTCCTTTCTTTCCTTTGCCCTTTCCTTTTCCTTTTCCTTTCTTTCCTTTGCCCTTTCCTAGATACCCAATGTCCATGGGCGCTTGTCCGCCTCCTGCGAAAGTGGTCGAGGCAGAGGTCTGCGCTAACGGATTCACCAAAAGTCTAGACCTGTAGTACTCCAAGATGACCTCGCGAACCTGCTCATACGTTTGCAAAGTTTTGGCGTTCAAGCGAAGATGCTGCTGCAAAGCTCCTGTTGTCTTGTTCAGCAAAGTAGCTACCAAAACACCATCTGGCAAAGCTTGACCTGCCTGTTTCTCGTACTTCACCTTGATTGTTTCCCAAACGTTAAAGTCCTGCTCAAACGTGTTTGGACCAAACCTGAAATCCAAAAGTTGCGTGAGCAAAGCTGTCGACCTGGTTGCATCAGGCAAGGCAAACTTGTTGAAAAGTCTTCTCCAGGTCTCAAAGCCATTCGACCCGACGTTCTGACGAACGACAAGTTTCGCCGAATCCTTCACAAGCTGGGAAAGTAGATAGTGCAACTTGCGACTGAAAAGTACACGACTACGCGTTGCATCAACATCCACATCACCTGTGTCCAAAGTTACTTCAAGGTGTGCATCTGTGAACTCGGTTGTCAAAGCTTCGGCATTGTCGAGCAAAGTCACTGCGCCTGCTTCGAACATCGAAATGTACGCTTTAAAGTTCCATGACCATTCTTCCCAGTCTGCAGGCTGACCGGAAAAGTTGTCTGGGAGAGGAAGCCTAAGCTTTCCTGCAAAGTCACCATCTTCTCCTAAAGCTGCCATTCTACCAAAGTCCTAGAGCTTTCAGCTCCGCTACCATGCGAAATTGCGAGGTAGCCAAAGTCTACACAAACAACCCTAAAGTGATCGTGCAACCTCAGCCAACCTCAACACTCAAAGTTCCTATGATGCCTCGGCCTTTTCTCTCTGGGCAAAGTTGTGCTTGAGCCACCAAAGTGGCAGATCATGAGTAGGGCTCATCTGGGGAGGAAAAGTGTGATTATAATTTCACACAAACAAACAAGCAAACAAACAAACAAACAAAGACCGGAGCCTGATTCCATGAAGCACCGACCCCGCACTCGCAGCCGCGCTGTTGATGCTTTTCAGCATGACACCTGAAAGCACGGGCGAGTGATGACCAGCGTATCTCAGTGTTCTCCAAGCTTGCGATCACACTGAGATACGCTGTGCGTGTGTGTGTGTGTGTGTGGCTCCCATGCGGAATGCGGTGACATGCGGCCACCAGATCGCCTGGCGGTGTCTTGGACAAGAGGCTCTGGAAGCCTGGCTGAAAGGCGTTCAGAGACACGTCGATGCTTTCTTTGGCTTCGGCTCAACGAAGCAAGGGTGGGGCCATCTGGGCATCCAGGGAGACCAGGCCGGGCCTCGGAGCAAAAGATGGCCCGTGAGAAACATGTGACAAAGCCACGGGGTCCCAAGCATGATCTCTTGCCGAGTCTACCATGAACACCGAAACTCGGGAACACCACTAAAGCATGGCGTAGAACAACCTGCAGGAGTAGTTGACGCATTATTTACTGTGCACCTGAGCATTCAAAGTTGGGACCGAACTTTGTCTGCATCACACACATGCTCACACGCATGAGAGCGCGGCAAGACGACAGGAAGCTGCAAGAAAGGGTGGAAAAATGGCTCGAAGAACACTAAATTTCACTAAATGCTGGCTCACGTGGTCAGGTCGTATGTCATACGTGGTCTGCATGCTGCGATGTCCTTGTGCGAATAGAGTACAAGTCCAGCTCACCACCTGAACTGCAGTTTCTTTCCCACAACCGTCATACTGCACTAGCCGATAAGCAGGCTTATAGCTTGAACACCAGAAACGGCTCAGGAATGCTCAGGAATTCTCCCATCCGAAGAAGTACCAGCCGAGCAAGGACTCTTCCGTGTCCATGAGGTGCCATCTGCATTCTGCTTCCATTTGGTTCTCTTCGACTGCTGCCCCTCAGCTTCCCCCTGCCGCGCGCAGAAATCATTCGATGTCCCGCACAGGGACCGAAGAAGCTTTCTCATCTAATTTGGAGTGCTTCCACACGGCTTGATCTAGCATCACGATTTCTCGCGTGCTTAATGACACAGTAGCTTTCCTACTGGTATCCTTGCGCCAGCATGCTTCACCTGAGACGACTCATTCATCGTCTGACCTCGTGTGAAATAGAAGACAGATTCCGTTTCATGCTGATCAATGGCCATCATCAAAGGCTCCGGCACCACGATTTCCAGGTTGCTGGGCCTGTGCTGCGACATGCTTTGAGATCTTTTTGTCTGTGATGTGAGCAGCGGAAGGCTCCGCAGCTGTCTGCATCAATAAGTTGCCACACGTCGATGCGGAACTCGCATGTGCATGCACAGCTTGCATCGGCCATGGTACAGACTGCGCGTATTATCTGGTCGATGGAACGTGATGGAATCTTTCCAACCCACAGTACAACCACTAAAAATATGATCCAAAGCCAAAACCTGTTGCCAGCACTACATGGGCAATCTATGGTTCAGCAGGGGGGAATGAATCTTGCAAAGGTTTTCGTGTACTTTCGGGTGTTGGGTCGTGTCGTGGGTGGAACTTTCGTCCTACCTGAAAAGCTGCATGAATGTGCCCACCAACAATCGAAAAAATGGAGCGGTTGAGCCCGCAGCACATCAGGGCGTGCTTGCGCGCCTGTCATGCGCATCTTGCAGGTCTGTTTAAGCATGTGCTCTTGAGGACTATACTCGACACGTACATATGACGGACCCTAATTTCGAACCAAGAGCATCAGAAAGACTAAAAACCTCAAAGACTTCAACTTGCACTCTACCAGCTATGGTACAGATGTCAGTCAAAGGCTAGATGTGCGCTACGGCTGACTGTGAGCAGGAATGAGCAGGATAAACCACTGGAAGTGACATGTCTTATGTGCTTCTACTTCCGACTTCTCTCATTCGCTCCTAGACTCCATCGTTCAAAAAGCCGCGCAGCACGCAAGCACAATTGCATGACAAGCATGACAAGTGCAGCACCACCCAAGAATCAAAGCATCTTCGATGACAACACGGCCGAAGGCACAGCTGGAGTCGAAAGCCTGGCCAGGGGCACGTGAGGTGCGGGAATCCAAAAACAACTGAAACAAAAAAAACCTTTAGGGATTAGGGTTTAGGGTTCTGAGCGCGCTTGCGCGGATCTTCGCCGGGCCGCCTTGTCGGCACCCAAATCGGTGATGTCCCATCTGCACGTCGGACACTCTGGACCTGAAGCACTGTGTTGGGGACGGCTTTGCAGCGCGGCCAGTCTGCTGCAATTCGATGTAATGAGCGGATCCTCTTCCAGCAAGTGCTGGCAAAACGTTGGACATCAAGTGTGACTCGTCACAGTCGTCACGTAGCACTTGGTCTCAGGCTTCGCTTTAACCAACCTCACACAAATACAAAGTGCAAAGGCAAGAGACCTGATGATCCCTTATTTATTGCTCCGCACCCGAGAGGTTTGGACTTTAATGCATACAGCAGCCCGCATGGCATGCTTACACGGAATGAAGAACGGAATAACTGGAACTCGAACCTTGCAGACATCCAACGTGGAAGGTGTGTAAGCAAGGAGTCAGAACCTGGAAACATCATCGACATGATTCTGCACCATGAACCTTCATGAGAAACGGTGAGACATGAGAGCCGGGCAATTTCGGAATCTTGCCCTTCCTCCCAGGCAGCAAAGTCCTCCATGCAAATGGGGCCTGCCCAACACGGCGAGACATCTTGGTATGCAAAAACTCAATCGCCGTCTGAGACACGCGCAGCTTTGAGGATGAGGGGCTCCACTGAACAAGCCTGCACACAAGCAGACAAGCAGACGGCAACCCCCGAGCAACGCTGCAATGACTGCAATGCCCTCTGGACCCAAAGCTGCCCAACGTGGCTGGGCGGACTCGTCGAGTAGGCCACGCGGGGCAGCTCACCCTTGAAAGCATCGTGGGTATGTTGCATGGACATCGGACAGCTCGAGAGCGAGGACACAGGAACATGAACCCGACAGCTTCTCGGGCCCCTCATGCTGAGGTTTGCGCCAAAGCGGCCGACACACGGGATGATACCGATGGTGCACCCAGACCTTGCCCCAAACTCCTTGTGAGCCGTTGTAGCCTTGGGAGGCTTCACAGGAAGCCACCAGTAGACATGCCTTTCTCACAAGACTGCTCAGCCGCGCACTGCGCGGAAAAATCCCTGCAAGTGAGGTTCGGGAGCGAGCTCAAACTTAGCATTCCCTCACTTGTGCAGCTTGCCTCAGAAAGGTGTTTGCTTCGCTTTCTTCGTCGCTGGCGAAGTCTTGCTCGAGTCCACCTCAAAGAGCAGAAAGACACAAACGAAGATACAAACAAAGACGCAAACGAAGACACAAACAAAGATACAAGCAACAAACAAAGACGCAAACGAAGACACAAACAAAGATACAAGCAACGTAAGCAGCAGCAGTCAGAAGCACTGCCGAAACCGGACTGCGTGCGTGCAAAAGACAAACGACTGCGGAGTGCAAAGTGAGTTACCTGAGCACCGAGCTGTCTTCTGAAGCCGAGCTGAAGCCATCCGAGTCATCGCCCCTCTCCCACAAATGGCAGTGACAGCTCTACTTGTAAGCTTTGTAAAAACTCTTCTCGCAACCCCCGGCATCCTCCACCCTGGAGACTCAGAAGAAGCTACTCTCCAGACAGGCAAAGTAACCCCACGAACTGACAAGGCAACAACAGCAACCTCCTCTGGCTGTAGCCTCTTCAACACTCCCATTCCTTCAAGCCTTTCAATCTCGAATGACCTGGACTGGTCGTCGACACTTTCCATTTCTTCATCTGTAAGTTTCGGAGGTCCGGCCCTTGAAGCATCCGGGCCAGAAATGGCCCAAAACCCTTGCTCTTGAGATCCTACAAAAATCTTTGCCATGAATGGTGACTTGCAGCTGGCACCTTGAGTCCGGACGATTTCGCAACCAGGCCACGAAGGATCGAAGTCCACCCTCGCATTCATCCAAATACTGTAGGAGTACGTGGGGGGTTTCCGAGAATAGGGGATACCCTCTTTGGCGGGTCCCTTTAGGGGATTGCAGTCTCTTTGGGGTATGAAAGGGGTGTACTCCCATTTTGAGAAATAACCACGTGGGCTGAACTGAAGCATCTTGTGAAGTGCGGACTCGTGACAAATTACTGTGTTGATCAGCACACGAGAGGGGAGCTGAAATCAGTCTTGTCACTTTGACCCATCCTATATGAAAGCTCCCTTACCAGCTCTATCGCAGGCCACCCGGGCTTCCTCAGACCTCCCATTCTTGATCCTCAGAAAAGAAGCGTTCATGGGGTGCAGGAGGCACCGGAGGCGCTCGGGGTCAGTTGGTGTTGAGTGCGACGAGTGCGACATGCGCGACGGCCGTTGAAGGCTGTTGAGAAATATGATCTGCCACTGCGGGCAACAGAAGACCTAACAGTCACGAGACTTGACATCTTGCAACAAGCGTGGTCTGGCGTCTCACCCACAAAATGTGATTGAGAGAATTATGGCTTTTTCTTGGATTCCATGGCCTAAACACGCCTTAGCAGGAGTCGGATTTCGCAAAGGTGAGGGAACGCTCAGATCTGCTCGACTGGCAAAGGAAATCATGTCGACATTTCTTCCTGAAGCCATCGCAGCATGACAGAAGTGAGATGTGTGTCATGCTGCCACACGCGTCGATGAGCTCACAGGGCGGCCTCTTGAGGCCCCAGGGGGGAATGCCTACCTCTACTTGTGAGGGCGGGGCA